ATGAAGACCATGAGGTAAAAAATCAATTTAATGTTCTATCCGCTCTATCAGAATCATAAAATTATTTGGAGTCGTTATCGAGATGTTCAAAGGACTGCTTTTGAAGAAGCTTGATACGTTGTGAAAATCAAACATTTTTTGCGGCAAATTCCTCAAAACTAGGTACTGAGCAGATAGAACTTTCTAATTTTAAAGTAGCGATAAGTCATTATTTTCTATTTTTGTCTTTATCTCTTTTGGTGTGTTGTTTAGTTTGTTCCATTTTTTCTGACACTACCTTATTTATTTATTTTTAAAAATCAGAAACGGCTTTACTCAAGTACTAGATCTAGTGATTTATTGAACTCAGAGGAGTCTACTGACTATGCTGCATATTGTTGTTTCTTATTTACCTCATTTCAGCTTGCCTGTATATACCACATCTGTCTCTTCACACATCAAATTAGTTCTTTCTACTTCTCTTAAAATTTGGGGGATAATTCCTGCTTATGGGATTTTTATGAGGAAAATGATAATTTGTACATGTTTTAAAATAAAGTTGTTATGCCAAAGCTGGGAATAGATCTAAGCTCATGAAGTAAGAGTTTATTTACTAAAATGGTGGTACAGTCGTATCCGCCTACATGTCTATGAACAGCGCCTGCTGATTGTCATCCAAGGGAAACAAATAACGATTAAGAAGTAGCTTGCAGAAGTAATACCTGAATTATTTTCCTTGGTTATGACTGCCCTTGGTTTTGCCGGGTTACAGAATCTTGTGCAAGTAGACATTATGCCCTGTAAAGTCAACTTAAAAAGAAAATAGTCCAAATGATTTTACGTCCCCATCAAAATATGATACATCATTTAGGGGGCGGGCTTTGGACCATGCCTGTCAGAGCCATGGGCTGAGAGGGATACATCTCAGCAGAAAGGCAGAGATGCTCGATAAAACATTCTCCCTCACTTGGGAATTGAACTCAGGTGTCCTGTGTGTGACAGTGAAGCGCCTAACTGCTGCACCATAGACCCCGCCGGTAGCAGTTTGTTTTAATGTGCAATTTTTATCTCAGGTGATCGGTTAGGTATCTCACAATGACTTGACTGTGAGCAAACCGCACAATTTGTTCACAATGAGTTTACAACAGTAATTTACAGAAACACGGACAAACACAGCTTTTTATTTTTCGATCTTGGGAGACGGAGAAGCTTCTGCATCAGCAGGACATGGAATAACGTCAAGAGGCTAGCCTAGGATAGAGAAAGGTGGAAAGTATTTGTCCGTGGTCTATACCCTGGTGCAGGGTGAGAAAGGCAATGATGTGATGATACCATGCAATTTTTTCTCAATGAGTTTACCTTAATAGTGCCATACAATTTGTTTTCTGTGGGTTAACCCATTACGTATCTCACAATGAGTTACTCTTTACCACACCACACAATTTGTTCTTGGTGAATTAACTTATTAAGTGTTTTGCTATGAGTTGACCTGTACTGTAACACACAATGTGTTCTCAGTGATCCGATTTAACCCTAACTATCCAACACAATATCTTCTCAATGATTTAACCCTAACTATCCCACACTACATGTTCTTACTGATTTAACCCTAACTATCCTACACACTGATTTAACCCTAAATATCCCACACACTTATTTAACCCTAACTATCCCACACACTGATTTAACCCTAAATAACCCACACACTGATTTAACCCTAACTATCCCACTCAACATGTTCTCAGTGATTTAACCCTAACTATCCCACTCAACATGTTCTCAGTGATTTAATCCTAACTATCCCACACAATATGATCTCACTAATTTAACCCTAACTATCCTACACACTGATTTAACCCTAACCACACAATATGTTCTCACTGATGATTTAACCCTACTTATCCCTCACAACTTTGTCCCCCCCAGGAAGCGGATGAGCTGGTAGACCTGGGTGTAGTGGAGGCCAACGTTCGTAACTCCATCATCCTGGCCAAGACGACCTTCACCGTCACCCACCTGCTCATGCCCGGCGACCTTCACACCCTGCCGCAGGACAAAGGTCAAGGTCCCGAGGGAGGAGCAGGTCAGGGTCAGAGTGACTGTAGCTATGTTTCGATTGCTTTAGTGTAAGAGCCCGCCATACGCCGTTTTGAAAAGTGACGTATGACGGTGTCTTACATTGAGCTGTCGGTCTGTCTGTATTTTTACTTTACTTTTTCCGATCCAGTGGCCATCTTGATTTGAGCCCTTTGGTCTGTGATTTATTTGTAATTTTGTATGCTTTTCTCTCAAATGGAGTCAGTGACCTAGTGGTTAGGCTCTTGGACTCGCAACCGTATAGGTTGTGGGTTCGAATCCCGTCAGGGGTCCGACGTTGTGACCTTGAGAAAGTCACTTGATCCAAATTTTCCTCACTTCATCCTGGTGGGAATGGGTACCCAGCTATAGACAACGAAAGATCTTATCAGTTCGTTAGTGTTTGAGCGCTTAATCTGCTGCTTGCACCGTATGCTTCCGGGGAAGCTGAGAATGTTTGTGAGTGTTCCTCAGTCTACTGGGGTAATAACATAGTGTAAAGTGCATAGAGCTTGCTGTTGAGTGGGGGGGAGGGTATGCGCTATACAAATGCTATTTATTTATTTATTATTATGATTAAATAGACTGCCGAATGGCATCATGCAGAAGAGTTAACGCTCAGATGCTACTGGATCGCTAACAACAACAACAACATTAAACAGACTGATAGATTTGCATCCGCAGCTTCATACTTACACTTCGAGAATTTTATCCATAAGGTCATGTGTTCAAACGCTGGTCAAACCCCCATGTTTTTTCTTTGAGAAAAAATACTTTATACAAATTTTCTTTTCTTCACTCTTTGGGGAATGTTAAACCGTCTCGTCACTTAGAGCCATCATGTGGATATTCTGTCCTGGGCACTCTGGAGTGAAAGGCAATGAGGAGGCTGATAGGCTGGCAGGCAGTGCCGTAGTTGATGGTGAGATGAAATTTGACAAAGGAGAAGAGTTGAAGACCCTGGAGAAAAAGTTGCGGGATGAAGAAGACATGGGGACAGCAGAACACAACGCAGTCATTAGGATGCGGGAAATGGGGATAGAGAGGGGAGAGGGAGGAAAGGAACGGTTATCTGGAAAGGAAAGACGTCGCCATAATCAGACAGCCACCGGAACAATCAGTATGGATACCTTGCGGGCTTTGGTGCGGGGGGGGAACTGAGCACTTATGGACCTGTCCGGTGTGCAATTACGTTGTTGCCCAGAACAGGTGATACAGGTAATAAACCGTCCAAGGCAGTAAAAGATTTTGTTTGTGTTTGATCGAGTGAAATGGCAACTTGTGCTGAAGTGTTTCCCAGGAGGATGAGAATGTTCCAGAATGTTTTTAGCATCAGTTGTTGGATTAGTAAGTTCTGGAATTTTTAGCATCTGTCGGGAGAATTGTATGTTCTGGAATGTTTTAGCATCAGTCGGGAGAATTGAATGTTCTGGAATGTTTTAGCATCAGTTGTTGGATTAGTAAGTTCTGGAAAATTTTAGCATCTGTCAGGGGAATTGTATGTTCTGGAATGTTTTAGCATCTCGTCCGACGATCTCCAAGGGGGAAAAGAAGTTAGAAATTGGGAAGACCCACATTTAAAAATTCAAAACAAAACAAAGACAAAAACAAAACAAAAATGATCACAAAGTGACGGCTATCTTTACACCCCCACAGGTCAAGGACAATCTGGCGCTCCTCAGGGTAAACCAGCTCCGCCGAAATCTGGGGGAGGAGGAGGAGGAGGCAGCGGCAGCAACAGCAGCGGCTTTCAGAGCGCCATCCCTCAGAAGCAGCCCCCCCAGCAGGGCAAACAGCAACAGCAGCTGCAGCAACCACAGCTACAAAAGCAACAGCAACAGCAACAACAGCTGGACGCTCCCGTCGCGGCCGTAATCCCTGTCTCTGAGACGATTGCCGCGCCCATCAGAAACGTCTCTGTGCAGAACGAGCCCGTGCAGGTGATGATGGTGGTTGTGGTGGTTTTCTTGTTGATGGTGTTGTTGTTGTAGCTGTTGTCGTGGTGGTGGTGGCTGTTGTTGTTGTTGTTGGTGGTGGTGTTGTTACTGTTGTTGTTGTTGTTGTTGTTGTTGTAGCTGATGTCATGGTGGTGGTGGCTGTTGTTGTTTTTGTTGTTGGTGTTGTTACT